GGAGATTGGAGGTCGGAGAGAGGAGAGATGAGTTTTTTAAAAATACCTAAAAAACCCTCTAATTATAATTTTAACTCAAATTACCATAATTATTAATTTTCTAATTTATCAATTGATTTGTGGTTGAGATTGGATCTCACAGTTACCACAAACTAATCAGTTCTCTCTTGGACCTATATATATATATATATATATATATATATATATTAATAATAATAGGTGACATCCAATTAAAGATTTGACCAAGCTTGAGAACAAAGATTTGACCACTAGAAATAAAACTTGTGGGCTCACGACCATTCACATGCCTTTCTCCTTTTTGTAGTGGAGAATATATGTTGCACATGTTCATATAATTCCATAAGGACCCTAACCCATTTCTTAATCATACCATTTCCTCATACTTATCCCCCCCCTCTCTCTCTCTCTCACACACACACACACTCACTCTCTCTCACACATATACACACACATATGTATATAAAAATTCAAACGAGAACACTCTTTACTACAGTGTATTATGATCACATGTGATAAGGGTGTTCTCACGTTTTCGTAAAATAACTCGTTTGAATCTACAGTCATGCGTGCACACACAGATAATCATATATAGTCCTCTTTTTATTTGACAAACCCTCCAAAGGTTATAAACCCTACACACAAGGGCATTTTTGTCTTTTCAATGGATTCATATTTTAGGGTTACTTATCTTCCTTAAAAATCTCATCAAGTTATTTCGTCACATTCTCTCCAACCATCTTCATTGTAATCGTTTTGTTTCTCATATAAAACCAAACCAATTGCTCGTTTACATATGAAACAATAACTGTTTTTGTTACCCTAGTTTCATACCAGTGTTATTTCACTTACAAAACAACGCGTCACATGTTTTCATATGTGACCATTTTGTTTCTCGTATGAAACGAAACCAATTACTGATTCTCATATGAAACCATAACAATTTTTGTTACCCTAGTTTCATACGAGTGTTGTATCACTTACTAAACAATACATTAACTTTAAAAAACGATGCATACTAACATTTCATATGTGAAACATCACAAACGGGATTTTTATCAGTTGGGAGATGTTAGAGACTAATAAATCTGTGAAATCAAAATGAGCTGCGTGTTATTTGATATAGAGGGCGATTCTGTTTGGTTTAGTAGTGAAGCTGATATTTTAAGGTTGGAGGAGATAATCACAGAATATTTATAATAAAAAATAGATAATCATCTAATTATTGATTAATATTCATATTTAAAATATTTAAAATGTCTTTCAAAACTGCTCTTTCCATGATTTTTCATTATTTCAAATTCAAAATTCCCTCCAATTCGTATCAACCATTGATAAAAAGGTGGATGGTATAGGACAAACGAGAATACGACATGTGTCCTCGCTTGTTCCATTCATCATGAATAATGACACTACAACAATATTGATTTTATAGGACGTCTAAGATGTAAAAACGTCTGAAAAAAAAGACTTAAATTTATAGGAACAAACAAAAAACTATCTTATATAAAAGTGTTACAATAAGTTTATATAAACGTTTTTAGGTGTTTTAACAAGTTTTTAGGACGATTTTAAAATAAAGTGTCGTATTAACTGTTTTTATACGACACTATTGGAAAAATTGTCCTACAAACATAAGTCTCTATAAAAAGAGGAGTTTATACTTTATAGGACACTTCTCAAAATTGTCATATAAAATAGCTAATAGGGCATTTATTTTTAAATGTATTCTAAAAAAAACTTGTTAAAACGCCTAAAAACGTCCAATAAACCTGTTGTAACGCTTTTAGATTCGTCATTTTTTGGTTGGGTCCTATAAATTTAAGTTCTATAAAGTATTCTGTTAGGACGTTTAGACAATCTAGGCCTCCTATATAACTAACTCCGTTGCAGTGTGAATGCAGATTTTTCTCAGCATTCATGACGAATGTTGCAACCTTCACGATGAACTTCTTGCGAATGTCCACGACACATGATGTTCTCTCATTTTTTTCCCCGGGGTCACAACAAAAAGTTAGGTTCGTAACTAAACCTGCTCCTACATACACGTCATATATGACATGTTAAAATTAACAATAAAAATCAAGAAATTATGTTTTATTCGATTTAAAATCCCAATTTCTTTAATATTATAAACTTAAACAACCAAACACATGCTCTAATCATAAAACAAATTTAAAAATCCCAAAAAACATAAAGTGTAAATAAAACAACCTTTATAAATAATCATTATTTTCCTTCCAAATTATAACAATATAAATAAATAAAAGAAAAAATATATATCAAACCAAATGAACTTTGACCTAACGGTACGTGAGTCTTTAGCCTTCTAACAGATCAGAGGTTCAAACATCATCAAATGTGAGAATGGTGTACAAACTTATTTGTTCTATTTGCTATATATATATATATATACCAAAATGAGATGGGAATTTAAAATTGGAAGTAGTCATAGATGACAACCACCGATTGTACCATATTTGTTAATTAACAATAAAACAATGATTTTCTGTCCACAAGTACACATGAACTACTAATGACAAAAATATGCGACCAACATTCCTTTCATTATATTTATTCTACTTTTATTTTTAATATATAGTTTTCAAGTAAAAAATGAATTTATGTTTATTGATTTTAATGTTAACAAAGATATGGTTTTCTAAATCATCATTTAGGGTCTCTGGTCATGTAACTCAGTTAATAAATTAGTGAAACGACTTTATTTAAATACACGATAAATTCTGGATTCAATCCCAGATCGATTGCTAGCGTTAACTGCTGAGTTAGTAAAAAAATGTCCTCTTATGTTAGTATTTTTGGAGACGGGTTCCGTATGAGACTGGTTGGAGTTGTCGATAATCAACTTTTTTTTGTCCAAGTATTGAGTTTTGATCTTAATTGTCTCTTTTTGCCGATTTCTAGTTGTAGGGTATACAGTTCAACTACCAAGGTTAATTATTGTATAATTACACTGTTTTCAGATGGTTTTTTTTTTCTTTCATATATTAAAGGGAAAATGGTTTCTTTAGCCGGCTTTGGTCGTAGTATTTCAGAAATCGTTTTATTGGACTAATTTAACTTCTTTAATATAATACTGCGTAAAGATTGTTTGACCGATCATAGTACACTAGTTTTCTCACTACAACAAAATAAAATTTATAAGACGTTACAAATTTCTAAGTGTCTTAAAAGAGTACTTTATATGACCAAACAAATATATATCGTATATATAGTTTTGCAATAGGTTTATAGAACGCATTTAGCTAGACATCTTAAATAGTTTTTTATGACACTTTTGAGAAATGTCCTGTAAACACATTATTTTATAGGACACTTGTGTTTATATGACATTTTTTTAAATGAGATGTATGAGCTTCTTATAAACCGTAAGTTATGATCTACCAATAACTTTTATCATAACTTTAAACTGATTTAAAAATGTGTATTAAATTCATACCACTTATACCCCTTCCGTAGATATATGTGAGTGATAAAAAGAGAGGGTTTATATGTGAATAAGAAGAGGATATGGGTATCAACCCTCGTTAGATTTTCAACCTTTGGACGGAGTCAACTGACAACGGTATCAGTTGAAACTCTAAAAATCCATTGACAATTTTAGTGTTCTTACATTTTCAACAATTTAAGTCATACTTTGTTGCAAAACAACCATCGAACTAATAAAACCCAACTTTTTATGTTCTAAATCATGAAATTGCTGTTTCGTTACAAAACAATCGTTATACTTTGTTAAATTTCGATTGATAGCAGGATCGAACTTACAAAGTATAATATATTTTTGTAGATGGTTATCTATTAGCATGTTAATGTTGATTTTTGAACACGACTCCCAAATATTTGAGACCCAATTTTTTTTTGATTAACCTGGATATCCAACCCACTATGCGAGCTGACTAATCCTAGGGCGATCACCTGCTTTGCAGATAGCCTGAAGTCATCGCATTTGAACCTTCGTGGACACAAAAGAATTTTTATTCCTCATTGGATTTGAACCTGGAACCTCCTGGTATTTTTGATCTCCTGAGACCCAATTTTACTTGCACTTGAGACTTAGATTTATATAGCCCAACCTGTGAATCCATCTCAATGAAAACTTATCTAATTTCTTTCAAAATCAACGGTGGCTATTTAATACAATATGCAATTTATATCTTATTCTGTTTATTACTCATTTATGACGATCAATAGTTCTTAAACGGGTGTAACAAAGTTTTTATAAGAACAGTGATTAAATATTTATAACAAAACAACAAATACAATGCTATATATATATATATATATATATATATATAGGGGTGAGTTCAAATAAAAACCACTCAATTYGTAAAAACCGTAAAAATCTTATTCAACCAATCATAATTTTTCATTTTGTTCATTTTTTTGTAATTATGAGAGGTTGATTTATTGTGGAGGGTGTTAATCATGTATATTATCATCTTCATTATTTTAATTTTAGAGAAATATATGAAACAGTTTCATTAAAATTTCATTAAGTAGTATATGAAACAATTTCATAACCACATATGAAACAATTTCATCAAAAAAGTATTATATGAAACAATTTCACAAGATTAACAATTTCATGAAAAAATTTCATATATATATATATATATATATATAAAGGGGATAAATAAAGTGTCCCACAATATATATATATATATATATAAATATATATATATATATATATATAAATATATATAAAGGGGATACATAAAGTGTCCCACAAATTCCATTCTAAGTCACAAGGTAGAATGGGCAAATCCAAAAGAATCTTTCTTTCTCATCTTGATATCAACTCAAAACCATTGATCAGCTGGAACGAGACCCCAATGTCTCTTCACATGCACATCACTCCAAATTTGTATCACAAATTTCATTGGAACCCCACTTACATATATTCTTTCATCAATTCATGACAGATATATATATGTATACATATATATATATACATATATATA